ATTTGGTTATATAGAGATACAAAATTCCAAATAAACATTCCTTTACCAAGTCTCTGATTGTGATTGGCAATAATTTTTGATCGAAACGTTGTCATCTATTTGTTAATACCACATCACTGTTTGATATTAAAGATCTCTGTGGCATTATCTTTAATCTTATCACAATCTAATCTAACATGATTGTTGGGGTCATACTTTTTAGCAATCGGTGGTTTTGGGGACAGAAAAACAATGTCGACGACTGTATTTTGATTGTAGGCTTTGAATTAAATTTCAGTTGATCGATTTCTTCACGAATCAACATCAGTATTAGAGGGATCATTAAAAACCAGTAGGGAGCACTGGACAGCCAGATGTTTCGGCCTATCTTGGGACTCGTCAAGAGTGAACACCCCTGACACCCCACTAGGGAGCGAATCCGACACCTTCAGGATATGAGACCAAGCTGATTTTGATGATATAGTCAGCGGCACCTTCAACTAATGCCTTCGATGAACATTGATTTCCCCACAAATCCTATAATCTTATACGTAATTAGTCATCTGCTGGATAGAATCGGATAAAGTCAGTCTTAAACTTCTTCGATTTGTAATTCTGTTCGGTTATCATTTATGATTATTATGATTATTGATAAGCATTTATGGTATCTCCCAAAAATTGGCCAAAAATATCTTGTCTGTTGAACAGATCCGGTAGCCATTATCCACTTCACCATGGCATGGGGAACCTTGCCAGTTACAACTTCAGGACATACATCTAGTAGTCATCAGTGAACTGGATATTAATATGTTGGTGAAGGGATTTGTGAGGATTTTTATTAATTTGAGTAAATGCTCAACGAGCACAGTTGAGGAGTCTCAAAAACAGCCTGAAACAACTGTCCAGTGGTCCCTGGTTTCATTGGGGTGGTTTCTCTAACTCATGTCGATTCATGAAGAAATCGAACAATTGAAATAAGGATAGCACGCCATATAAGTCTACAGAAAATCCATTCGTGGATGGTACTCAATATTTCAAGTTGAAATTCAAGTCGAAACTGATCTTTTCTACAGTTTTTTCTTAGTTATCTGCATTCCAGATGCTATCTTCATGGATAAAGTATAAATACCCTTGAAAATAAAAAGGTACTTATCTCAGAAGATTTGTCTGAAAGACTGTGCAGCTAAGACCAGCTGGTCAACTGCCTACAATAACACAGTTTCTGAAGACTGTTCCGCTTAAATTTTACAATGTGACAGACAAATCCATAGAGATTTTAAGAAATCGCCTAACTTCCATGATTTAGAATATACGTTTTATGTCGTCACACCACGAAATACTTTCTCCACACAACTAATGATTTGACTTAAAAATCTGAATCTAGAAGTGATTTTTGAAGTCGTTGGTGTTTTAGTGGTAGAATACTCTGGGCAAACACGAAAGTCGTCGGGAGGTCAACGCCCTCCCTGGCCACCGACGAACTCCCAGACCTTGCTTAGCTGGTAAAGAGGAAAGGTTGGGTATGAGGTTAGCGAATTCACTTCGTAGACAAAAAAAATAAACGTCACTGCCACCGAAACTTCAAGGTCCAAGCTTGAAGCCCTTTTGTTCCACTCGGAAAGCAAGGAATAAAATGAATATTTCTTCTTTGAAGAATGTTTCCTCATCACATTCACCGTTATGTTGCATTCCCCTTTCGACCTTAAAAATTCTAACTTTTACTTTATTAACTTTTGACGTTGAATGATGCCCAACTGTTTTAAGTGTTCAATTGTTGGTTTGTAGGGATTTCATGGATAACGGGATTTTCATCACAAGGTAACAGGGAGTACTGGACAGCTGTTTTTTCAGCCTAGTTTGGGACCCTTCTTCAGCAGTACTCACCCATCACAGGGGTTTGAACCCGGGACATCTCTCGGTTACAGGGTGAACTGGCTCACAGACCATTCAGACACTGAGATCTGATCCATTGAATGGCCCATGAATTACAACTTCTACCAATTGATGACATAGCGCGACCATCAGCCAATGTGGCGAGTATGTGTCCTCAGACCCGACCACCCACTGGTCATGACTTCTCACTAGAACTTAGGCAACTACCTACCTGAATAGTAATCAATGTAAACTAGTTATAAAATGTTCAAGGGATTTAGAATATTCTGTTGTTAATCAACATCATCATCACTGAACCGACGTTATTTTGATTTTCTTTGCATGAAGTTACTTCCATTGAGGTCTCTACTCTTCTTGTGCTTTCCTCAAACGTTTCACTTTTTACAATAATTATTAATACTACTACTAATACTGATAATCACTTATAGAATTTATGTGTGTATGTAAGTAGAGATTCGTTATGTCTCTTCACTTGACTTCCATTCCTTTGGTTGACGATTGATTAACATTCAGACGTGATAATAATCACGAAGTTATTTCACAATGTTTACAAAGCAGGCTCAGTGCGTAACCTACCTATTTTTACATTCTTACTTACAAAATGTCAATTTTCAAAGTTTTCCTCCCTCTAAGTAGGAAGAGAAAACGCACCCACTTTCATTCCTCACGGATCCGGAAAGAAAGAGCGGCAAAATCTTCACCTAGATTCATTGACAAGAATCTGAGACCAAAGAAAGTTACTGAACAGAAGTCCAGGTCATCTTTAAAAATATTCTTCTGTTCAGTCTTGAATTTAGAACTGGTACTGAAGGAGAAATTCTCCGAAAATTATTTTAAAAATCTCTCAGTAAAACATACTTCTCTGCCAGTCTACAGCTAACACTTTCTTCCAAGAAGCGACCAGTACGTGAAAACCTAGCTGTGGTATCTGGACACATCAACATGCTCTTATGGAGCTGTGTATATTGGCCGTATCATCCTCCCTCTTGTAAAAGGTTCTCGGGAGTACTATCCAGCTTGGCTGGCGGAGAGAGAACGTAGGTGTATACATTATAGCCCAGTGACAAAACATTCAATGCACTCAGGACACTCAGCTTCATTTGAAAAGTCCTTCAAAGTCATATACAAGATCTCATCAACGCTCTCAAAGACACCAAAATCAAGACATCTAGATATAGCTGGAGCACTGGAGACCCAAAAGCCCAAGCCTAATCTATGTATTCAAAAGAAATATGTCCAGCCTTTGTTTTTACTATGGGTATCATAAAGAGTCATTTCTCTCAATAATGATTATCCTATTATGTTTCTTATTTAAACTCCCTTTTTGTTACGCTTTTAATTCCCATTTGTAATCTTTCCATATTAGTTTGTTTATTAGTTGTATCACACAGACAGTGAAACAGTATTATTTACTGGATAACAATATTTCGAACAAAATTCATCACTGTTCATAATCATCTCATCAGTTATAGTCACACGACTTCGAAACTTGAGTTTTATAGTTTTCTTTGTTCTCTCCTATTTGTCGTCGTTGGGGTAGTAGGATTTTCCAGATATCCGACTGGACAGGTGTTGAGTCATTCTTATTACATGCATTTGCAGTTGATTCGATAAACAAAACTTCCGTTGTCAATCTCTCCCTCCACCTTGTGACATTAGATTTTAAAACTGTCATCTTATCCCATCCATCCTATTGTATGGTTGTGTGCAATTGCATGTAGTGAGTGGTATAGCTGAACTATTCTCTAGATTTCTTATCTTATTCGGGTCAACCAATCTAGATTTTGCTGATAGGTTTTCATGTTCGGCTACTCTGACTGCCCCTGTTCTACTACTTTGACCTATGCATTTGACCTGACAATCATTGCAAGCAGGGTATTAGATAAACTAAATTGTTTTGTTTTAAATGCTCCACAGGATTGATCCTTTAACCGACAAAGCTTGTTTCTAATTGAGTTTTTGGGTTTGAATGCCAGCCACTTTTATTCCCGCCTTATTAAGAATTTTGCATAAGGTTTCCGAGGTTCCTTCTTTGTATGGAATTACTACTGGTGATTTAGATTCCTTATCGTTAATGTTGTCATTAATATTTTCCTAATATTATCACTGTCACTAATATTTTTATTAATTTTATTATATTTACATTTCCCTACATACTTTCTGACTAATTTATCAGGGTAATTATTAAGTTTCAAAGCTTCTCTCATATGCCCCACTTCCTGTCTTAGATTTTCTTTGGTACTACTTAGTTTTTGTGCTCTATCACTTAAACATTTCATCAATCCTATTTTCACTGAAATAGGATGGGATGATTGGAATTCCAAATATGTGTTTGAATGTGTGGGTTTCCTGTAAACACTAGTGAGGAACTTCCCATCTTCTTTCCTTTTTACGCTACAATCTAACATTGGAAGCTCCCTTTCCTGACTTTCCAATTCATTGGTGAATTGAATCGCCTCCACCTTTGAGTTAATGTGTTCGAAAAAATCTGTCTATATCCTGTGTTCTAAGTACAGTGAATGTGTCATCTACATACCTCCACCATACTTTATGGGGGTGGGGCTGAATGTTTCAATCTCTAACTTCTCCTACCTATCCATGAATATATCTGCCACAAGAGGGGATAATGGTATTTAAATTCCAGTAGTAAATATACGAACAAGCTGAGGGAGTTGCCATGGCGTCACCAATATTCGATCCCTTACTGACGCACACCTGATTTTAATGATCGGCCTGCGAAATTTGGGCTAACGATATCACATGCTGAAAATTCCATACCTGTACCAAAATTGCAGTGTGACATCAAGCTATAACAAAAAAAAATTTAAAATATATTATTACACGATACTAATTTAACTAATCATTTATCGGCAGTACACACCCACTGGGTTTCGGACTCAGGATTCAAAAGTTAAAATTCATGGTCTGGCCATTAAATCAGGTCCCAGTGGTTGAATGGTATACGAGCTTGACTTGCAACCGGAAAGTCCTGAGTTCGAAACCTTGTGATGGGTACATACTGCTGATGAGTCCTGAACTAGGAGAAACGTTTTATCCCTTATTCTGAATACTTTTCATTTTCTACCTTTTACTCCACTTTTGTTTTTTTTTTGTTTTTAAATTTTTAGTTCCTGACAGTGAATACAATAAGCGGAAATTAGAAGTAAGTGACATCTGTTCTGTTATTTATATATGCCTCATTTTATTTTTATTTTTCTATCCAATACGGTAATGTGTTGTTGCTTTTTGGTTGATTTGATCGTGAAATACTTGTTTTGACCATTTGGTCATAAGTGTCATTCTCTCCCTCTTTCTCTCATACTCTACCTACCTACTGAGACTCAACATTATCGACTTTCATCTAATACGTTTTGTATAAACATTATTATTATTATTATTAATACCCTGGGTTTCGACTGGAACATAGAGCCTCAACTGCACATCCTTATTTCATCCGGTCCTCTGCAATCTGCCTTAGCTAGCTGCACGATTACCCATAAGCTGTCATCTCCTTCTCACACGATCTTCTGCAATCTGCCATCTCCCGTGTGAAATGGTATAATAGGGTGAGCAATATTGAGGTTAGGTATCGGTCGAGTGCTAGGTAAAGAGGGGAAATCAATAGACGAGGCTGTAAAGTTACATCAATTGAGATGGTTAGGACATGTGTTATGTATGTCCAGCCATCGCCTTCCTCGACGGACAATGTTAGCTGACTGACAAAAGATCAGGTTGGAAAAGAGCCAGTGGTGGTCAAACCAAAACATGGCTTCATCAGTCAGTGAAATTCAAAACAGTTAGTTAAAGCCAGGTAGTCACGTAGGGAGGTGTAGACTTCCTGACTGGTTGGGATCGTCAGGACGGTAAATCCAATGGAGGCTGGAGACAATTGGTGATATAGCAGGCTCAAAATCGTTCTCAGTGATGGCTGGCTCAGATGCATACACTCCTTGTGACTTGTAATACCCAATAAAACTATATTGTTCTTCCATATCAATATTCCTTTTGCCTCATATCTCTGTTTACTGTCTCTATTTTTCATTTCCTTTTACTATCTTCTCTTGCTTTGTGCGCTGAGTGAAGTGTGGCGACTTGAACTGCTGCACATCAGTGCAAAGTTCTGTTTTGAAACCAGTCAGTCAGTCTTCTGCAGTGTGTAAAGAAATTATGCTTTATTATGTCATGCGGTGAAACAGCGCTTTACTTATACACAACCAAATATCCTTTTGTCGGGTTGAATTTGTTAGTCTTTATACTTGATATGTAGGTGACAGTTTGATACACAAAGGGGGGTATCATATAACTGTGCCTGTCATGTTAATTACATATTTTCTACTTCTTCTAAATATTTAAAAGTTGTTAGTATATCATTGACTGTCCATCTATGGATCCCAGACTCGAGATGCAGTCCACATGCTTAACAACTGGATAGTATCATAAACACTGATGTAAAGTGTGATTTTATAGCTATGCATAGATTTTGTAACAAAGCACAGTGATCCGAGTAAATGCAGTGAACTCTTACTATATAATATATTATTATTATTACTATCCTCTTTTTACATATAGTAACAAAATTATTACGATAATTAAGAGTAAGAATAATCTAAGAATGGTAAAGATCTCGAATAACTCAGTGGTAACGCCTCTGACTGTAGGACTGAGTAACTTGTGTTTGAATCCCAGAAAAAAAGAAGGAGTTCCTTCAAGGTTGCCGATATGCCTTGCTAACGAATGCCACCAACAACAAGTATGAGTCAGTGATCATACCACATCGAAAACACCGGTTCTCTTCCAATTACCGAAGTTAAGCAACGTCCGATTAGTACTTGTATGGCTGAGAGGCTTGGAATACTGGGTAGCGTTAACAGCTTTTGACACCATAGTGGTTCAGTAACAATACACTCGCCAACTACGAACTTCACCCGGGGTTCGACTTCCAGCCCCCGACGCCCTCCTAAATCTCACCTAACCGGTGAAATAAACCCGGTAAAGAAAGAAGGTTTGTCGTGGGACTAGAAACGCCTCCCAGTGAACAAAATAAACACCACCACTGCTATTGAAACTTCGAAACTTACGTCTGAAGCCTTATGTCAACTCGTAAACACAAAGGTCTAAGAAGCAGCAAACACAGGACTCCAGGTGAACATAGACACGACGAAGGTTATGAAAATAACCAACCAACCAACAACAACAGCAACATCCAGCGCCAATCACCATCAACGGGAGGGATTCCAAAGAGGTTACTTCATTCACTTATCTAGGGAGCATTGTCTCAACCACAGGAGGAACGGACGAGGATGTCAAATCGAGAATCGGGAAGGCGAGAAACACAGTCATCAACCTGAAACCGATCTGGAAATCTTCGTCACTCAACTCAGCATCAACAAAATTCGGATTTTCAATACAAACGTCAAGTCAGTTTTGCTATACAGATCAGAAACTTGGCCAGCGGGTCACAAAGAACATTTCCAACAGCCTGTTGCAGACCTTTATCAACAACTGTCTTCGCTCTATACTGACGATCAGATGGCCGGAAAGAATCACAAACAAGAAACTATGGGAACAAACAAAACAAGAACCAGTTGCTCAACAAATATGCAGGAGAAAGTGGAGATGGATTGGACACTCGCTGAGGAGGCCGCTGGGTGACATCGCACGTCAGTCCAGTGCTCGAGTGGAACCGGAAAGGGAAGTGGCGAGTGGGACGTCCAAGGGTGACATAGAGGAGATCGGGTGAAGAGGAGTTGAAACAGTATGGATTAACATGGACGTAGGTGAAAAGTACAGCAGAAGACAGAAGCAAGTGGAGATGTGTAGTTGAAGCCCTATGTTCCACTAGGAACTCAAGGGAACAATCATAATATTAATAAACACAAAGGAATATAATATAGTATAAACAGTACACACATGGGGTTTCGAACCCAATACCTTCTGGTTATACGAGCTTGCCTTGTAAACGGAAGGTTCTGGGTTCGAACCCCACTGTGGTGGATGCGTGCTGCCGACGACTCCCAAACTAGGATGAAACAGCCAGCTGTCCAGTACTCCCTGTGGCTGGTTTTCAATGGTTCTCTAACTGATATCAATCCGTCGTCAAACTCGTTAAAATAAATCTAATCCTTACAAACCAATTCTTGAAAAATGTAAATAAATAAATAAATAATTTCTGAATGGCAAACCTTTCCGTCATCATTCTTTCATGTAAATATTTTAGAATGTACATACTGTAATTAAATGTTATTTTTTTTATTGATACCTTGAACGAGCAAATCTATCGAGAGACATAAAGAGAGAGCCTGAGAGAGACAATAGGCTTTTAAAAGTGTTCAGAGATATTTAACCTTTCTGTATTATATGTGTGATGACAGTGCATCCTGTAAATAAATGACAAAACTCTCTTACTGAGTAGTAATTATAGACATTTAATTATTTTCTATTGTTTTTCATTGACCTCGTAATCATCACGAATAGACAAACATAGCTGGTCATTGATACATGCACTGCACTATATCTCTATAGGCACAGACGCGTAATGTGTGAACATATAAATTATACTCTATGTATTATTATAAATAATGATAATAATCGGATTACTGGGACGTGCAGTTTTAATATTTGTTTGTGTGTGTGTGTGTGTGTGGTCGTTAATTCTTTTCAAATATTTGCTTCAATATAGTTAACGAAAATGCCCCCCCGTCTAGATAGTATTACCTTCTGTCACTGCTATTGAGTAATAACTAATAAAAGCTAGTAGAGATCAAAAGGTGACATCAGTTGGAGAACTGCTGAAAACCACTAGGGAGTACTGGACAGTTGTTTCGTCCCAGTTTGGAACTCTTCTTTTTTGGTACCCACCCATCCTCCGGGGTTTTTTTTGAAACCAGGACACCTTCAGGTTACAAGGCGAGCTCCTATACTATTCAGCTACTAAGTCGGAAAGTTGTGTGAATAACTTGCTATGATTATTATTATTTATTATTGTATCCTTTAATTCCTAGAGGAACATAGGGCTTCAGCTGTGCGTCTCCATTGCGTTCGGTTCTCTGCTAGAGTCTTCACCTGGCTCCAAGTCTGCCCACACGTTTTCATCTCCTCTTCACATGACCTCCTCCAAGTCACCCTTGCACTGACGACCAACTCGCCGCTTCCCTTTTGGGTTCCACTCAAGCAATGGCTTGTCTAGTGATGTCACTTGATGGTTTTCTCAGAGTATGGCCAATCCATCTCCATTTCTTCCTGCATATTTGTTTCACAATCGGTTCCTGATTGGTTCGCTCACTGCCAGAGATCCCTGTTGCTGATCTTTTCTGGCTGGCCATCTGATCTTGAGTATTGAGCGAAGACAACTGTTAATGAAGGTCTGTAGTTTGTTTGAGGTGCTCTTTATGACGCGCCAAGTCTCTGATCCGTATAGTAGGTGGCACTGACTTCACATTGGAGTTGAAAATCCGGATCTTATTTTTGATGTTGAGTGCTGTTGACCTCCACACAGACTTGAGAGTAGTGAAAGCTTGTCTTGCTTTTCCGATCGTTGCTTTGATATCCTCTTCAGTTCCGCCTGTAGTTGAAACGATGCTTCCTAGGTAGGTAAAGGAGGTTGTTTCTTTCAAGTTCCTTCCATGTGTGCTGATTGTTGTCTGTTGTTGTTGTTGCTGTTGGTGGTGTTGCCCAGGAATGTTCATCACCTCTGTTTTCTCTGTGTTCACCTGAAGTCCTATCTATGATGCTTCTTCTGCCAACTTGTTGCTTCACGCTTGAAGATCTTTCAGTCTGCGGGAAATCAGACATATATCATCATCGGTGAAGTCCAGATCCTCCAAGATTTTCTTTTGTGTGAGTCCATTTTATGCCTGTTTCCTCGTTGCCCGCTGTTTGTCGCATTATCCAGTCTACTGCAATCAAGAAAATCATTGGCGATAGTAGGCAGCCTTGTCTTACTCCCGTCCTCACTTCGAAGGATTCCGTGAGCTTCCCGTTGTGGATTATTTGGTATGCAGCATTGTCGTACAACTGTTGGATGAAATGTATAATTCATCCAGCGAAGCACTGGAATTAGAATAACATTCAAGTAGGCAGTGGATATAATCTTTGTTGGTATTAGATGGTTGGAGGCAATCGGCTACAGGAAGCCTTGGACACACCTGGGTTTCGTGCTAGTTG